AAATGAATGCTTACCAACTAGTCAACTTCCCAACGAAATTTCGAGATGATCAGAGGTCCTTGCCAGATCTCATCCTAGTTAACGACAAAAAACTACTCTTTGACATTGAACAGCATCTACCATTGGGTCGTAACGGTCATATAGTAATTACTGCAAAATCTCAATTGAAGTGCAAAGAAAGATTAACGCAAAAAATCACAAATAAAACTTCTGGAAGGCGGACTATGGTCAAATTAACCTTTTTCTAGGCCAGCTCTTCAAAATCACCCCAGAGGAAAAATATAGGATCTACAGGACTCACAACAATCAACTTGAGAACAAAATAAGAATCTCTAGGAACGAATTTGAGAAAAAATTTGCCTCCTCCCCTAACAATAAGCAGTTTTTTTGATATTTCAAACGCAATCCCAATTCAAATGTTTCCAAGCTTAACTTAAAAAACTCGGATATTTTAATAACTGATGACTCTGAAATAGCTGAAAATTTTTCAGAACAATTCACAAAAGTTTACTCTCAGCACGAAGATGATGAGCTTCCCTCGCTTACAGACAGTATAGAAAATCGTAACAATTTAAGGACAATTCTCTTTACTGAAGAAAACCTTTCTGTAGCTATAAGAAGCCTAAAAACTGATACCAGCCCTGGTCCCTGTAATATTTCTTCAAAAATGTATTAACTGTATCAGTTAACCATTGGCAGAAGCAATGAATGAAATATTGATGAATGGAAGATTACCGCATATATGGACGCATGCAATCGTAAACCCATTATATAAAAAGGGCGATAAGCAGTTACCCTCTAACTACAGACCAATAAGCCTATCATCCAACATAAGTAAATGATTCGAGAAAGTAATTGCCAAAGAACTAACTCCGTTTTTTCTTGAAAACAACGCTATAACAGAGCATCAGCGTGGATTTTTACCAAAAAGATCAACCATCACTAACTTAACAACATGCATCAACTCGTGGACTCAAAGTTTTTACAGAAGTTAACAGGTTGATGTCATCTATTTGGATTTTGAAAAAGCGTTTGATAAAGTACCTTTTTAAAAAATACTACACAAAATGGAACACTATGGTACTTTTTTCATTGTACATTAGCGATTTATCTATGCAAATACAAACTATTATTATATTCTTAGCTGATTACAGAAAACATATATTAGACCAAAACTTGAGTATGGAGGGACGATATGGAATCCATATTTTGCAAAAGATATAGAGTTTTTAGAAAGAGGCGGGTCACAAAAATCCCAGTAGAATTGGCAAACTTGGAATACCCTGAAAGACTGAGGAGGCTAAATCTAACAACACTGGAAAGACGTTTGAGGGGAGACCTTATAGAGAGATACAAGATATTGCTGCCATATTACCAAACAGACCTTAATATATTTCATGCAAATTCAAATACACAGCTAAGAGGTCATAGCAAAAAATTGGAGAAGGAAAGAAATGCCAAACTTCCCAGAAAGAAGAAACTTTTTAAGTATATAATAGAATCGTTTATCACTGGAATGCGCTATCTGAGGATACAGTTTGTGCTCCAAGTATCAATTTTTTCAAAAATAGACTTGACACTCAACGTGACGCACTAGAAAACATTGTTTCGCATTTCGGCCAGTAATAATTTATTAGTGGAAATATAGAATAAAAACTATTGTGAAATGTAACCATCAAATAATCAACAGTTTCATCGGTCATAACCGCTTACTGTTGTATATCGTAATTGTAATCGTTATCGTATTCCGATAGCCAAGCGGTAATAAAAGATGCAGTCCAACAGAATAACATCAAAGTTAGTTTTGGATTGTCACAAAGCATTAAACAAGTCAGAATAAGGTGACGCTATCATAAGTATTGTCCGTCGTTTTTAATCTGACACTTTCCATATGAGGAGCGAGGGGTGAAGCTTATGGCAAAAACAGGTATGACGTCAGGTAACCATTGGCGTTAGGAAGCCACCAGCTCACATTCCTTTGTAGTATCAGTTTAAAATCGATAGACTTTACCAGGGCATGAAGGCCATCAGGGCAATGAAGGCGCTGACAAAAAAGCCTGCGAAGGCTCGTCAATGCGAATGACCGCGGACCTGTCACCTGAATTCTTTTGTGGAGTATCCAAGCCTATTGCCAGAGCATCCAATAGGGAATGGGTGGAAAAAGAATTCCAAAAATGGTGGACACACATACCGGGACAAAGACAAGCCAAGAATTTCTTGCAAACCCCATCGGCTAAACTAACAGCAGACCTACTAAGCCATGATCGGAAGGCTGTCAGAATATTGGTGGGTTTGCTGACAGGCCACTGCCGACTGAATAGACATTAAGGTCTGGAGGAGGAGGAAACGTCAACTCACGTCTTGTGCCATTGTGAAGGCCTGTCGAGAGTGCGCTTCCGATCTCTTAGCTCAATCAAACCAGAAGCAGCAAGCTACACTAGGGAGCCATTATCGAGGTTGTGGAGTCTGAGAAATAAAACTGGACGAAGCTCTATAACATGGAGTGAGTCGCAATAGATCCGCAGGGTCGCAGTGAGGAACAGGCGGAAAGCTAACTCTCCGAACAGTTTTTAAATCTAATCTGTAGTTAGGTACATGCTATTTTATTCCTGCATCATAAGTCAGGTTTTGAAGAGTGCCATTGGCAAGCCTGTACTCGAAAGAAAGTATCCCTGGAAGGTCGATAGGCTGCATCTGACGTGGGAAGTAATTTTGAAAAAACTTTATCGCTATTTGCCAACTAACTTATCGAAACATGAGAATCTTTGCTCACTCAGGCTGACTTTTGATGGTTGAAGTACGGCTTTCCATTTCTTCAGTGATCTCTTCATATGCCCTCGGAACAAGAAGATCGAAGGCTTACTAACAGTAAGAACTTGTTCGTTTGTCTAGGATATTTTTTGGAAAGGAATAGCAAACAACATGTTTAATAAGAAAGAAGAGACTCTCATAGGGTCGCAGATGCTTTCGACAACGCCTAAATAAATTTAAAAAGCCAGAGAAGTATTTACCTTCGATATCTGCAAACTTCAACCTGAGTAAGTACAGGTAAGCATGTTTCAATAAGGTAGTAGCACTTGCAGTTTCATTGAATTTATATACCAAATCAGCTGCAGCACAGCGACATTCATAATTACCTCCAAGTACAAATATAGCGAAAACATTCTTCGACCTACGGGGATGAATGAAATCTAATCATCAGAATATGCGTACCCAATACAAGAGTACCACTATCTTGGTACAATTGAATTTTAATATTTTATTCTTTTTCTGTTCCGTCTTTTCCATCGAAATAAATAAATGATATATACCCATACCAGCGACATCGAGTCCAATTTAACCAAACTTGACGTACTAAGTGAAAGTGTTCTGCAACTTGGTTGTACCGGGCGGTACCATATTTTAGGTTCATCTTTCGAGATGGAGCCACTTCTATCGTTTCTATTTTCAGAATAATGGCTTATAGATACGTGCTTGCAGTTTTAGGCATCATTTCATTTATATAAGATCAGAAATTAAGATAGTAACCGGATTCAAATCAAAAGCGAGTAAAGAGTATCTTCCCTTTTGATGATTAAGTTTCAAGGCGAGAGCAGCCAGCAACTTGCTGCCTTTGTTTTATCCAAGAATCAGTCTTTGGTCCAGCTCTTTTTCAAATACGCCCATCTATGATATAGATGTCATAAATCTTGACATTAGGGCACATTTCTCTTTGATTGTAGATAATCAAATCCTTTCATGGTGTGATAAGGGCTTGGATCGACTATGGGAACCTAATTTTTCAAAAATCACTCCAATGACTGAACAACCTCATTGGCTTGAAGTGGAAATTATAGACAATGAAAAGCATTCCAACGACTTCTTTATGGAACCTGCAACAAAAAGTTTTTTGGCATTTGCAAATCGAATTAACCAAGATACGAAAATACAACACAAGGTATCTTGAAAAAGTTTTTTCCCTCGTTGCATACGAGCTCGACTGACGAGGAGGTGAGGCTGCCAGCTATAAAATATGTGTACGTATTATTGCAAACGAGAAAAATTTAACAATGAAAAGTGAACTGGCAAAATTGAATGTAATGCCATATTCTCAAAGGCGTGTCAACGCGGTTCAAACAAAGTGTACTAATGGTATTGCTTACAATTAACAAATAACATCCGGATATTGTAATACATTTTTGTATCTCATACAGACAAAACATATTTCTACTAGGAGATTTTTCCTTCTTGCCAACCTATTCAAGATATTTAAAATCATTGCAATTCTGAAAGGAACAAAAATTTGGGCTAACGAAAAAAAGAAATCAGGAGATATCCTCCTTTTGTAGCATCCACAAATTTTCCAATAATGATTGTGAATATTTGATCAAGTAAATCCTATTGATCCCTTCTGTGTGTGATGGAAGACGTGTCAGATCCAGATACAGAAAAAAATAGGGATAAGTTCTACTGGAGAAAACCTAAGTTGATGTGGATGCAGCATTATGAATAATTCCTTCTCTAGCATATAGAACTTCAAAAGAAGGAGTTATAGAGATTACTATAATGACCTTTAAAGTAAAAACTGTAAACGTGAAATAAAAGTTAATGCAAATATTCAGCTCGTTTAGGTTTTATTAGACAGACTGATATAGAAATAATAAAAAATCGTCTTCAGTTAATAAATAGATAATAGGTAAATGTACCTGCACTTACATTTTACAAAGCAAGCTTTATCATAATTTTTGTGCGTAAGAAATACATTTTATAATAATCATAATTTCATCTGTCTAATTAAAAAACATAGTTTTCTTCCTCAAGAAACAAGAAACGACCACGAGATGTTAAGCCAAGAAAGAAATAATGGAAATAATGGGTTTTATGCAACTGAAAAGTATACTTAACAATGGCAAAGAAATTTTACATTATAATGGTTGGTTAATGTAAAGAAATTGGTATAATTGGTACCAAACTATAAAAGAATTGCATTTTCTGTTTTCTTTTTTAGTTTAAGTGCAAAAATGTGCGTGATAAGAGCAACAACTGTAAGTATAAATATAAATAAAAGTTTCATTTACAACAAAATATAATTTCTTTTTAGGTGACTCTTCTTATTGCATGGCAATGTACCATTCTGCCTAAAGTAAGGGCAGGAATAAATTATTCAAATGATCTTTCTTCACCAGAACATTCATTAGACACAAACGCAAAAGTTAACATAGTATATCGGACAATTCCTGAGCCAGTAGAAGTAGAAAAGCGAGTCCCATTTCCAATAGAAAAAACCGTGCCCTATCCAGTGAAAGTTTACGTTCCATCCCCTTATCCAGTTGTCAAGAAAGTCTATGTACCACAAAGGATTTATATCAGACAAAAAGTACCGATTATAAAAAGGTATCCGGTTGAAAGAAAAGTTCGAGTGCCGATTTACGTCCCTGTTGATGTTCCCGTACCCATAAAAGTACCAGTTTCAGTACCAGTCCGACAAGAGAAAAAAGTTCACGTCAAAATCCCAGTGGATACACCTGTACCGTATCCTGTTATCAAAGAAATTCCAGTGCCTGTTAAAGTTCACGTACCGGTACCACAACCATATCCCGTTGAAAAAGAAGTTCCTCATCCTGTGAAAGTTTTCGTGGATAAGCCTGTTCCTGTTAAGGTGGAAGAACCCATTGCTATACCAAAGATTAAAGAAGTGCCAATACCAGTTGAACAGGAAGTACCATATCCTGTTAAAGTTGAAGTAGAGCGGCCAGTACCTTATGAAGTACCAAAGCCAATACCGTTTCCAGTAAATGTTCCAGATGATAATCCAGTGGAAGTAATTAAATCAGTTGGCAAAGAAATAACAAATCAGGATGCATATGAAAGTACAAAACGTGAAGTAGTTAATGATGGAAATAAACGACAATCAAATGTTAAAGATGAAATGGTGGCGAGTGGGAAAAAATACTAATATATAGTGCATTAATAAAAGAAGAAGAGTTTTGGTAAATTTGTTAGTATCCTTATTGTTTGATCATAAAATTTATGTGAAAATAAATAATGAAATGTAGTAAACTTGGTATTAGCTGCTTGCTAGTTTTTGTAAATAATTATGTATTCAGTTTTCGAGATCAATTTTGCAATAACTTATACTTATTAGAGATTATGTAATAAGTACAAGGTAGGTAACTGTCATAAAATAATTCTAAGCAAATTATTTTATGTAGTAGAGGTTAAGCTATCTATCTACTTAGTTCGGTACCCAAAAAAAATCCATGCTGGATCAGAATACATAATAAAAAATATATAAGCAAGACAATAGGTACCTATATAAAAAAAAAAGTTAAGATTAAGATTCTGAAAATTATGTATAATAAATTATCTGTCAGTTAAATTACATTTCTATAATAAGTAATAAGAAATTATCTAGACTACTTGACTAAGTTATATTTTAATAAATTGCAGCGATAGATGATGGATAAAGTTTTATTCTTTTTTGTCTTATTAAGTAAATGTAGGTATAACCATTTCATAGAAAATTGCCTCGTGACTTATTAAACGAATAATAGCCATAATTCTTTCTGATGGATTGGTGCAAAAATCGATTAATGCGACAAGTTTGGGTCAAATGTAAAAGTATGTTGCATTAGGCTCAAAACGCGAAAATATGCATTTCAAATTATTGTCAATTTAGGTAAGGCACATTAGGTTTTTTGTGCATTTATCTTAGAGTTTCTTGGACTGTGGAACCAACTAGAAATCGTATAAAATAATAGGTCTGTTTCTGCAGAAATCACAAACCCGTCAGAGTAAATTTCATTGGTTGAAACTAGCGAAATTCGCTCTGACTGGTTTGTGAATTCTGCAGAAACAGACCTAATATAGAAATACAAATAAAAGAAAAGCATAAGACTCCATCTTTTGTAAGTGTTTGAAACATGTCCTGGCCATATTTTATTTTAAATAGTCAAATTGAGGTATATGGATATGGAGGCAAACAAAATCGCCAGTAAAATTACTTCGTTCTAGATTTGTATCCTAAAATCACCACGGCTTACAGAGGTAACTAAACAAATATGGGTAACCAAAGATCGCTAGCGGCCTTCATGGAACAGTCATGGTCTCGGAAACCAACACAAAACAAGAGGATCACCCGGTATTACAAAGTTATTTTTAGTTATTGAAGATTAGTTTACATCTAGAAAAATCCTTCCATAAGTTTGTTATTATTATTCTGAAGACGATGTCGATTTTAGAACACACCTCTGCAAAAGAAAATGTTAACCCTAATTGTACGAGAAGTTCGTGAATATTCAAGCTATGGCATATCTGTGGCTTCAGACACTGGTTCTTCACTAAGTTGTAGTTCACTCTTTGTGGAGGCACGGGCCCGGAAGGCTGCCCATGGGTCAATTGTTAGTATTTTCGAAGTTATCGCAGAATTTAAACTTAGAAAAATGTTAACAACGTGGCAACATCGTACAGGAAAAAATGTGCCGTTTCATTAAGTTGTGAATTGCACTCAAAGACCTTTTTGCACTAAACATTCGAGAGAAAAACTAAATAATACTTACTCAGCTACTTGCCAAATCCTCATTATGACTATAAATTTTTGTTAAAAGGTTCTCAAAACACTAAAATCAACACGCAGATTTTGCACACTCACACTTCCCGTACCACGCAATCTTTGTAAAACGGGCACAATGTTCTTTCATCAGGTAGGTGCTCTTGGGAAATCTTTCCCTGTAAATTCCAGTCCAGCGATTGGTCGGTAATTAGCTGGATTTTTTGGTTCACCTTTTTTATGTATCAAGGTAATTCTGGCCCTTGTGTCTGTTTGGTTGAGCTTCATGCAGCCTTGCATGAAGCAGGTGCAGGAATCAAGGAGGTATTGCTTTGCTGCTGGTAGTATTTTGTAGATGTATGCCGGAATCTTGTCTTCTCCAGGTGCTTTCCAGGTTGCTGTTTTTTCCAGTGCTTTCAGGATGCTGTTTTTGGTTTGTTCAGTCTCAGTTTGGTCGGTGAAATCTTTGGAGTTGGAGTAACACTTCAGTTCTGACATATGCATTTGTTGAAAATTGGTGTGGGTGGGTGCTGATCAGCTTGGTGGAATATCTTTTGGTAGTAGTCTTCGACTACTTTCAGTTCAGGTGTATTTTCTCCATTTGATGGTTTCTCCAAAACTTTGATCTATGGTGTGTTGTAGAATTTGTATCTTAGACACTGTTTCACATGCCTTCTTTTCTGCTCCCCCAAGTTTATCTCCAGTCTGGTTTTAGTGGACGAAATGTATTGTTTAGTTGACATTTTAAACTTTCTAATAATGTTCATTTCTTGAAGGAGTTTTTTGCTTAGCTGGCCCTGCACTTCTAGGATTTGCTCTGCATTCTCCTTGTGTTTTTTTAGCTTTTCTATTTTCTTTATAGTGGTGAAGTAGGTAGGCTTCCCAGTGAGTAGTTTTTTAGAAAGCTCTTGTTGGAGGAACTTGCCGGCAGTGTATATGGCTCTTTTGATGTTGAGTCTCTTTTCAGTTTCCTTTAGGCTAGTTGCTTGAGTCTCCGTGATTTTACAAATCAAAATAGCATTCACTGTAGTTACTATGTCTCTAGAACGAGTGTTCTGTCTTTGTTACTTATATTGTCATTTGCATATCATCGAGAAAGGAACACTTGTTCTCCTGGGAACGCTGCTCCCCTGTTTCAAGAATAAGTACCCTGTAGCTTTGAGCATTCTCTCAAATTTTTGTATATAATTCCAGAACTCTTCGCTGTAGGGCTGCTGTGGTAATTCTGGGTTTTCATGGGGAGCCTCGGGTGGCTGTGTTGGTTGCTTAGGCATTACCAGAAGTGTTTGTGATGGTATTTGAGTTAGATTTTGGCTCTGTGGTGTGTTTTCATTGTTGTTTTGTTGTTCGGGGGTTGCACTGGGATCTCATGATGCTGGATTAATTGCTCAGGTGGTGCGGGAGGCTCAGGCTGCGGTGGAGGTGTTGATGATGGTGCTTGGGCTAAGTTTTGGTTTTCTGGAAGGTTTTCATCATTGTTTTGATGTTCTTCAGCTTCGTCGTCGCTTGTATACCTCATATAGTAGATATTTGGGTATTTTCCTCTTAGTTTTGTGGCAATGACTTTAGTTGTTCTGCCCAGGAAGTTATTCAATATGGCCTTTATTTTTGCACCGGATTGAGACCCAGCTTGTTGCTTATATAGGGAAACTAACGTTAGTTCTTCCTCCTCAGACCATAATTTACTTCCAGTCGGTGCTGTTTGGGGCTCTGGGCCTATTTCTGCTGCGGTATCATGTTGCTGGTGTTTAAGTTCTAGGTATGTTTTCTTTATTCCTGCTAGAGATCTACCTGGGATTTGCTGTTCCAGGGCCTGAAGGTCTTCCTTCAGCAGCACTTCATTGTTTTGCTGCAGTTTTTCCCGGAGAAAAGCAATTTCTTCTGGTTTCCAACGACGTGCCATTGTGGCAGTATAGTGGTTAGTGTATCTGCTTCGCATGCCGTAGGTCCTGGTTCGAATCCCGGCTAGGGCATGGTTGTTTGTGGTGTTTAACCGGCGTGTTGGCTTGGCGAGAGGATGTGGAAGGATTTTCTCATGCTTTCGTGATGTCGGTAGAGTCTGAATGGCCGATCATTGCGAATCGGACTATCATAGGGTGGGGGATACATAATAAAAACCGACCATTTAGAGTCTAGTATGAATGGGAAGGAGAAGAGTCCATACAAATGATGTACAATAAGCCACAATGAGCTTCAGTGCAGAGCATGTACTCGAAAGGGTGACAAAAAAAAAACTCCAAAAGAGAAGTACCTATGCTTCAGCATCCGCACATAAGCTGTTAGTAGTGATGTAAAATGCTCGAGCAAGTATTTTAGGAGAACGTTCTCCGAGCAGGATCGAGAATTAACGAGAATAAACGAGCAAAAACGAGCAGGACCCGAGAATTTATGCTTTTTATCAGACGCTGAATAAAACAAAACATTTTTCTAAATAAATTCTGATTTTTCTCAAATTTCCCGAAATTCCCAAATTTCTCGTGGAAGTTCTGAATATTCTGAAAATTCTTCATAAATGTGCTGAAAATTCTCAAACTTCTTGGGAAAATATAATACATATATCCTATTCACAATCTGTAGTCCAAAGGTACAGGTAAATTTATCACCTTTCCCTATCAAATAGCATTGAAAGGTGATAAATTTTACATGTACCTTTGGACTACAGATTGTGAATAGATAATAATTAATCTCATATTTTGTGAATTGTGTCTTGTGTCATGTTTGACAACAATAATTATTCTAATTTGGGTTTTTTTTCCAGTAGAACGCTACCTTTGCTTACAAAAAAAATAACTATTGCTGCTAAGTTGCTTCCTGGTTCTCGGGCTCAATATTTGATATATCTCCGCCTTCAACAGCTTCCATAAATATATCTCTACTCTATGGCGTCATGTGATTTTATTGGTTAGGATCGTGCTTGAGGACGTGCTAAATATTCTCTATCGTGCTCAATGTGCTCCGAAGGTAATATTCAGCACGAACCTTTTTTTCGTGCGCGAATGTTCGCGAATGTTCTCGAAAGCACAATCAGAACGTTCCCTTGTTCACATCACTAGCTGTTAGTCGCAGATTTATGTTAAAGGAGATTGTTGAGCAGTAGCGGACATTGATGTGTATTCAGTACTTGCAAATCCTTGTACCTACATATTATATTTAGGTAAAAAATTGAAGTTGATAGGGTTGCAGCCAAGTTTTGAATTCTTCTAAAGTTTCTAAGGCATTATTCAGAGTCTCTTTTTACCTACTTTTGAAAGTAAAAGAAAAAAACTATCAAGCTATATTATATTTAGGTATACTTAGATGAGAAAGCAACAATCTTTCCGAAATATGTTTCAGAACTTCTTATTGGTCCATCAGCAGTAAAGCAATTAATTTTTACTTTAATAACACGTAGGTAAACTTTTGGACTAACAGCAAGGCAGAAGTTACGCAGTGTTGCCGATTATCGGCTAGTGACCCAAACAGAGCAATAATACGCCACTGAACAATATGGACAAACAGAAAGAAAACCAAGAAATTAGGAAATACCTGTACCTGGAATAACATTTAAAAAAAACTAAATAATAATCTCATATGATGGAGCAAAAAAACTTCTTAATTTCTGACCTTTAAATAATGAGGAAGTCTGAGAGAAATAGTATATTACATTACGAGTGTAGAAAGTGACAAATTTCACACGAGTGCTTTTTGGCGGGAGGCGGTAGCCGAGTGTGAAAATCACACGAGTGTATGAAAGACGCTTCCTCACAAGTGATGTACACCATTTTTCCTACGACCAAACACCGATTTCCTCTCACCTAATGAGGAAAACCACCCATTTGAAATATTATTTCTTCAAATCTTAAATAAACAAATAAAAAATTTACTATAGAAAAGCAAATGGTGAATGTTTCAACCATGTATGTGCTGTGAAATTTATGAGAACGGGGGCGCGGCTCAGAAAGGTACCTACCGGAGGGTGAATAGAAGATAATGAAAGACTAGAGAAGAAGCTTGTTACTAACCTTTTCCTACGCTGACGAGCGAATATCCTAGAAAACAAATAGGAAAATCAGTCTAGAGATATTGGCTCAAAATAACTATCGCTGAGTAGCCTCCCGTACGGGACCTCAGTACCTGCTGGCAGACTGGCTAACTAACCAAAAACTCTTCAGTATTGAATATAGGTAGTGTTGATTGAATGTAGATTAATGGAATTAAAATTTTTGCACAAGGACAAGGACGGTTTCCAATTTAAACTTGTTACAAATGATTATTGACTCATAATTGGATGGTGATATAGAAACTGGAACCAGGCGCCAAACGACCATTTTCGAGAAACGGCATAAAACGTATATTCTACTTTTTCAGAAAATAAAATAAATAGATAATTTCTTTAGACTCCTACTTCTCAGAGGAGCTATAAAATAAGCAGAACAACTGCTAGGAATATGTTTATATATATATATATGCAAAAATTTTATATAGTCTGTGCATCCAGAGGTTACCCATAAGCTGTAAAACACAGGGCTGACAATAAATTAGTACAAGACCAAGTGAACGAATTTACATTTAGTTCTATAATAGTTATTTAAACAACAAGTTTTGAAAACGACTTTTTTCGCACGGCGAGACAGTTTGTTGGACCGAGCCGTAGGCGAGTTCCACAAGTCGAGCAAGTGTGAAAAAAGGTTTTCAAACGAGTTTTTTACAATGCTTTTCCTACAACTGCAAAATAAAACAACCAAATATGTAATTTTCATTTGTTAGAAAACTTGTTGCGTGTGAAAAAATTTTCGCACGCTGAGAAGCGTGTGAAAAACTCTAATTTCAGAGGTTGCCTAGCGTGCGAAAAACTCCATTTTCAGAGGCAGTCGTAGGAAAAGTCCTTTTTCAAACTAATTTTAAAGTTTTTGAGTTACCTACGTCGGAAATCAATGTCTATAGAGTAGTTGCCTATTTGAAATTTACTCCATAAAAAAATATTACTTGACAAAATTATATTTTCAAGTAACTTTGAAAAATGGTACACCAGCACCTGAATTAATATAGGGCCTGTCAAAGTTTTTGAACAAGATTTATACCGAAATTCCAGTGCTTCCCCAACAAAACAAAATTTTGTGTTAAGTTAGATAATAATTATGTTTCACTTGTAAACAATATGTAATAATAATAATAATAAAAGTATAATAATCTATACTTAGCATTAGATGAATATATTGCATTTTAAATAAATACGAAATGTAAATACCTATCTGTAAAAATTATATTTCTTCACAAAATTTCTTGACCACAAAACATTTTGAGAATTTCAGGTAGAACCCGTCCTCTCTTTATATTTCGCATGATTTATAGCCATGCCGTGTTTTATGGCTTAGGGGTAAACTCTCGGTGCATAGACTATAGTAATGTGTTTAGCGTAGAATCTCATTTTTAGCCATTTGGCGGTTGGTTGCTTTTTCTATATCACCATCCAATTAATATCAAAATGACACAGTATGTTCAGATTTTTGAGGAATGTAGAATGAGGGTTTCACTGCCGTGCTCTTTCCTCTCGTGAGTTCCAGGTCGAGAACGATACGATTTTCTTAAATAATAAATTAGACGTTTCACAAATTTTTCGTTTATTTTACATATCACAACTTCCCTCAAATTTCCCTAATTTTGCTATTGTCGGGCGCATGTCAAATAAGGTAAATTGAGTAAGTTTCCACAACGTTGGTCCTATTTGTTTTTCATTTCGTTTTTTAGAAGATTTGTCGAAATGCATACATTGCAAAAAAAAAATTATACCCAAATGAACTTTTCAGGGGGGTTAGGGGGCGGGTGGGTGATCATAAAACCGAAGATGTCACACATGCACCCCTCTGGCGTTTTGCGCTATAGTGGTTGAAAGTGCGCCATTGGCGATTACTTGGTACCTATTGATTTTACAAAAAAATATTTCAAATAAAAGATGTGCAACATTATTTGATCTACAATGTTTATCTGAAGACTTTTTTGATTAAGGGCCGTCTGTGGTCATAAGGGTCATTTGATATTTATAATGAAAATTACACCTAAGGGAAGGTGTCCCCCGCTGAATGGGGGTGAGTTACAAAAAAAGTTGGTGAAGAAAAATGTAATCTTATAAAACTTTTAAGAAAATTTTATTGTAAAAAAATAAAAAACTTCAAACTACCCCTATTGAAAAACGGCAGAGGGTGAGTAAAAACTTCATAGAGCAATAACGTTGTATGTGTTGTAGAATTTTTTTTCACGTTGATCAAAAAATAGTTATTTATGTAACAACTGTGTAAAGTAAACCTTTTTTCACGAATGTGAATTTTGACGACAATCACATGAGTGAAAAAAGGTGCTTTACGCACGTATTGCATACAAATTTTTTTCTACTACCAATCAAATATGTGTAAAAAAATTAATTTAAACAAATTCTTCACGCACTAGTGCGTAAAATATTTTCACTTTGCGCACTAGTGCGTGAAGTAATTTACCAGAAAAATAGTAATTTGACAGGTCGACATCTGTCATTGACATTACTTTACGCACTAGTGTGTGAAGTGAACTACTTTACGCTCTAGTGCGTGAAGAGAAATTTTACGTCTTCTGAATAGTGCTTAAAGTGAGTACTTTACGCACGGTAGTAGAAAATAATATTTTTATTATAAATTTCAAACGGCCCTTATGACCACAGACGGCCCTTAATCAAAAAGTCTTTAGATAAGTATCGTAGATCAAATAATGTTGCGCATCTTTTATTTGATTTTTTTTTTTGTAAAATCAGTGGGTACCAAGTAATCGCAAATGGCGCACTTTCAACCCGTATAGCGCAAAACGCCAGAGGGGCGCATGTGTGATATCTTGGGTTTTATGATCACCCAGCCGCCCCCTATCATCCCTAAAAAATTCATTTCGGTTGGATTTTTTTTTTTGAAATTCGACAAATTTTCTAGACCAACAGTCCAATGAACCATAAGCGGATACACAACAAACATTCACTGATAAACAAAAAATGGGGAATCATCTAAATCCATTACGTATAAAGATATAACTGACCAGACCCAGGCAGTGATCTAGTTGATTCCATAATCAAAGAAATTTTTCCTTAAACAGAAAAATCGCAAGGTGGCACAAACTAGATCAATTTGGAAGGGTTTACGAATTCTATAAATACAACCAAATGTATTGGTTTTTTGAGTTTGCTTGACAAGGCACTAGTCGGGCGTGAAGTTTTAGTAAAAACATGATTTTACTAAAAGTAAGTTCCATTTTACCTACAATCATGTATTTTAAGTTTATCAAAAATCCTATAAAGTGTATTTTATGAATATGTGAAAAATAAGGTCAACAATGAATGTGATTATTCCAATTTTTGATTCAAAAAGGAGCTCCCGATTAGTGATGTTTTGTGCAGTTTTTGTGTCATCCCTGTATGAGTGTGTTATAATTTGTGATAATCAAAATTTTCAACATGTTATTCATCGCCTATTTTAATGATATGATTTAGGAATTTAGGGCACCATTCCGAAACTACTTCCATCATAAAATATGCAATAATTTTCGAAACCCTGCTTTTGAGAAGTAATTTTTTTATCACAAACCTATTTATTTTTGACTTCAGGGCACCATTATTATACTTCTCCTGACATACACCCTAGCCGAAAAGCCTGCCAAAAAAGAACCTGACAATAAAAACCAAAAAAGAAGCCTCCTTCTTGGTTTAGGATTATTGGCGCACAAACTTGAACAAAAGTTGTTACCGACACCTAAATTAGAGCATGGTTTAGAAATTGCTGGTGGAGGTTTAGAATTGGAAGGACATCTTGGTGCTGGTCACCAATTTGGAGGGCATGAAGAGCTAAATCTACAAAGTGGAGGTTACGGAGGACTAGAACATGGTGGACTAGAACATGGTGGACTAGAACATGGTGGACTAGAACATGGTGGACTAGAACATGGTGGACTAGAACATGGTGGACTAGAACATGGTGGACTAGAACATGGTGGACTAGAGATTGGAGGTGGCGAAATACAGTATTCTACACATGAATGTGAGTACATTACGTATACAGTGCCCGCGGAAAAGTCTGCACCATATGGAAATTTTTTTTATGCCCATCCTTACTTCAAATCGGTTTTCGGCATTAGGTTCTGCATGACTGAAAACCAAAAAAATACCTAAAATTTTTGACTCGAGAGTTGCCTCAAATGCCATTTGAAAATTTCAAACAAGGAAAAGTGGCATTTTTATAAAAAATATGAAAATACGTTATAAAAAAATATTGTTCCAAATGACTTTTAGTAGTAGTTTATAAGCAAACAATTTGAAATTTCAATTTGAGAAATCTAAAATTTTTAAAATAGTCCAGAGGCGTATCAAAATTTTAATAGAAATATTTCTTTTTGATGTTTAAACTCTTAATTAGATTATTAAGATTTAAAAAACCATTAGTCAGATACAAAATAAATATTTTAGAAGAATGATCGCGAAAGAAATCCTAAAAATATTATTTTTCCGTAGATAATCGAAAAAAAATAAAAAAATGAAAATCTTTTTTTTTTAAAGCAAAAATATCAAATTAGACTATAAATGTGATTTGGAACAATATTTTCTTATAAAATTTTTTCATATTTTTTATAAAAATGCCACTTTTCCTTGTTTGAAATTTTTAAATGGCATTTGACAGGTGGGAGGCAAGTCTCGAGTTAAAAATTTTAAGTGTTTTTTTGGTTTTCAGTCATGCAGAACCTAATGCCGAAAACCGATTTGAAGTAAGGATGAGCATAAAAAAATTTCCCATATGGTGCAGACTTTTCCGCGGGCACTGTAGATACAAAATCTGTACATTTTTAAATTAATATTTTGTGAATATGTAGTTTACGTTCAGTAACAATTTAGTAAAAGGGATAAATCTGGAGGTTCTTGAAGATTTTTTGATGATTTATTAGAATATTGACAATGGTTCGATGTCTGATACAAAGTGTATATAAATATAAAATAGTTATTTTTGTATCTAGTGCGCAAAATGCTATTATCACCAAAGTATTTCTCGCCCGAGTTGCAAACAATATTTTTTCTACAACTGCATTTAAATATCGATCAGTCGAAGGCAAAATTGCATTTTCAATCAAAGGTAGGTGAATTTTAATTATTTTTGGTTTCCTGACAGGTATGTGTAACCATGACACCCAGTGTGCGAACTAGCTATTTCGCGCACTAGGGTGCGAAATAGCTACTTCGCACACTGGTGTCATGGGAACGTTAAAAAATCAATACCTGGGAAAAAAAGTATCACTTCGCAAACTGTCATGAGTGTGCAAACATCATCTTTTTTGACAGCTGTAGAAAAACCTTATTTATATAACGAAAAGAACGATGATAATAAAAAAAAACTACTGAGATCTGGTCTAACACACTACAATATGAAATCTTCATAAATTAAAAACCAATTTTATGAGGTGATAAATTTGAAATGTATTTGAATCCATATTATGAAGTATATTAGTGTGAGAAATTAGGCTAAGCACAAATTAAGGGTTCCCAATCTGAATTTACTGAATTACTTTATAGAATTTGGTGATGAAGTTATTGTTTAAGCCTTCTTTAAAGGGAGTCTGACCCAAAAAAACAACATAAGCTACTTGAATCAAGAGAAAAATCTAAGATCTCTCGTGAAAACCGCAGTCCTATATTCAAACTAGTTTCCGAGAAAATTCCTTTGTGAAGATAAATTATACGATAACTTGTGACATCACACCGTCTTACCGATGAAATCGCAGCCTGTTCGTTCAGTCGTTAGTGAATCGTGCCCTATACTTTGAGTTGTTGCAATTCGCTTTAGTGGGATCGTTGACTTTCGTTTTGGAAAATTCTTACACGTGCCTCCGAAGCCGGTGTGACGTCACAGCCTAGACGTTCGTAACTTTAAACCGCCCTAACTCAGAAACGGTTTATCGTAGTAAGATGCGGTTTAAATATTTATTCTTAGATTTTTTGCACTAAAACTTTCATTATTGGGTCACGCCTTTAAGCACTCAGCTTTTAAATAGCAAGAATACTTATTGTGGCATGACAATGTAAAATAGGCTACAAATTAGCAAGATATAAAGTATTCGTATTTTTTGTTATAGTACCTCTTGAACATAAAGAAGAAAAAACTGTAACACTTATCAAAACCGTTCCTGAACCATATCCCGTCGAACAAGAAGTTAAAGTACCAGTCTACCATGAAGTTAAGGTAAAACAAATTCAACTATAAAAATATTAGCGATTACCAAATATAATTGTTAGGTGCCAGTAGAAGTTCAAGTGCCGCAACCGTACCCGGTTTACAAAGAAGTCAAAGTCCCGTATAAAGTGTACGTGCACGAAAAGGTACCAGTTCACAAGCCCGTGCCCATTGAAAAAATTGTCAAAGTTCCTGTCGAGGTTCCTGTAGACCAACCATATCCAGTCGAAGTTAAGGTGCCACAACCTTATCCTGTATATAAAGAAGTAAAAGTCCCGTATGAAGTTAAAGTAGCACAACCTTATCCTGTTGAAAAGGAAATTAGAGTACCGGTTAAAGTACCTGTGCCAGTGCTAAAACCATATCCTGTAGAGAAAATTGTGCATGTTCCTGTTAAGGTAAACTTTGAATGTACTATTACACTATATAAAAATGTATTATTCTAGGTTCTCGTGGATCGACCCGTTCCAGTTAAAGTAGAAAAACCTTATCCAGTTCCAATAGAAAAAGAAGTTAGAGTACCAGTACCCGTGGAAAAACCTTATCCTGTTAAGGTTTACGTTGACAGACCAGTGCCATATAAGGTAGAAAAGGAAGTGAAAGTACCAGTGGAAGTTAAAGTACCACAACCCTACCCTGTGATTAAGGAAGTTAAAGTACCAGTGATCAAGGAAGTTCCATATGCAGTTAAAGTAAAAAATATCCTTGCCATATTATCGAATGACTTTATTTGTAAAAAATCTTTTAGGTTGAAGTTGAAAGACCAGTTCCCTATGAAGTGATCAAGCACGTACCGCATTACGTAGAGAAAAAGGTACCATATCCTGTGAAAGAACTGGTTCCTGTACATTATCACGAGAAGAAAAAACACATCGTAATTAAATGTGATGAAAAACACGATCATGAAGTGATAGGTGAGAAGAAAGGTTTAGGTTTGATTGATTGGAATAATAAGTGGGACAAATGGTAAATGTCGGAGGAGTTGTAATATGTAACTCGTTACCTGATTAAAATTAGTTTTTAGCAAAGTAAGTGATTAATTTTTTTCGCAAGATGCCATTGAAATTTATTAAATTAGACTATTTTATCATAACGTACAGTGCTATGCTGACATCTATTTAGTTAAATTTGCACTGTTAAACAAGTAGGTACTACCATTGTATAAAAAGACTTTTTATACAATGGTACTACTTATGTATTTTTAACTTAGTGAAAGTAAGTAGGTATAGTAGCACCAGCTTCCATTATTAATAATAGATGGAGTTAGTATTAATTTCCTAAACAATTTATGTAAAACATGGCTTTTTTTTAAATGAGGATTGTTTTTAGTAGTAGGTATAAGTAAGTTAAATGAAATGATTTCTCTTACTTTCCTAAAAAATATCGCCTATCGGCAATCAGTGATAATGGCAATTTACTTTTGTTTATTATATTATCGATTTAATTGTTGATTAGTAAAAATAAGTACCTATTGTTAAAATTAAAAATTATGTTGTTGTTTTTCTTGAAATCCTGTAATAACGATCTAATATGGACAAATATGTTTATATTTTTTTGTGATACTGTAGGTACTATTCATGTATAACGCGACCAGAATTGAAATTGAGAAATTATAGTAATGCTCAGCTATCGCCTCGAATTCCAAACTTCGGACGTTATTTGCAATTTATCGGCCTCGTAACGTCAATAATTATTTGATGGTTAGATGATAAGGGCAAAACATATCCTTACATCCGTAAAAAGAGCTTTTAATTTTAAGAAATTGGGTATCTTAATATGTTCACTGGCACTGCTGGCACCTTGTCCAGGATAGGCAAGATATCGGGTCTTCAAAAAAAAACCAATCGAAGATTGCTATGGTTTTTCAAACGTATGTCTTAGCAATATTTGCCTTTAATTTTGTCAATGAACTTTAATGTCAAAATGTCACGTCAAAAATCCTAACCAATAAAGAAACATTAATGCGACGTACGTTTTCGTAATCAAAGCAATCTTCGATTGTTTTTTTTTGAAGACCCGATACGTATGAGACTGTAGTTCTAAGACAGTTTTCACCTTCATCGGATTCATAATCCTCATGCTCACTTACGGATGCTTCCAGCATTTTCGAAAGTGATTCAATCTCAGAATGAAATTGGCAATTTTTTTTTTTTTTTACGGATATGCGCACTCGCAAGGAAATGTCCTATCACGCTCGAGAAGCGGCAAGTGCGCGGAAATGTCGGTGTATGTTGGTCTTGAAACGGTTCAGGTTGTAACCTGCAGGGAAAACCGTCGCAGGGAGTTTAATCCACAGCGATGCTGTTCTCCAGAGATATGAATTCTGATATAATGAGGTTCTTGGTGCCTCTAGTTTGACAGTAAATTCATGGTTACCGTCTGTTTGACGGGTTCGCCTGGTAGGCGCTACTCTCGGTGGAATCATACGTGCCAACTCTTCAGAGCATTTTCCGTGATAGTACCTGTAGAAGAGAGATAAATCGCCCACAGATCTGCGATGTTCGAGACCATCCAAGTTACGAGTAAGTGCGGGGTCATTGATCAGCTTGATAGCTCGTTTTTGCACGGTGTTCAAAAGCATTAAGGTATGTTTGGGTGCTGCACTCCATATATGTGAGCAGTACTCCATGTTGCGATGTTGATCAAGATCATTCATGTTGTAGTTCGGATTAACTACAACAATATTTGTTTTTTGAAAAGATTTTATATTCAACAGTAAAATACAATGACAATCAATATGACAAAAATTAAACTTGATTCGCTGGTAAACGTAGGTACTATCAGGTATGTTCTGGTACTGTTTCCAAAGATTTTTCTTTTTTTTTTAAATAAAATTGTTAAATTTTCAATGATAACTTCTTGATCTAAACACTGATCTGAGCTTTGTTCTACATTGTCTTGCAAAGTAAACTCTTCCATTAAAAAATGTAATGGGATGGGAAAACTTTGATTTGGTTCTTTAACATATCTTCTTTTAATTTGATTAGTATGACATCTTCTTAATATGTTGTAATTATTTGGATAAAACACTAGTATGTTGTACATCACTTTGTCAATTAGTGCTATGATTTTTGTTCAGCCGGAGTTTTTCATCTGGAGAATTTGGATTTGGAGTAGACCTGTACACTCTTAAAAATATGTTTATATCTTGTAATTGCCTATGACTTCCCCCTCGTTTAATTTTTAAAAGTGCTGTTTTAAAGGTGTCAACAAACTTTTCTGCCTGACCATCTGCACTTGTATGATTACCATGACTATTCTGTCTCCAAACATTAGACAACCTTTAACAACGGATAATGAGTCTCGTCTATAATAAAAATTAGGCGCAAATTTCCAATATCCTTTTTGTTTGTTGGCAAATCATTCTGTACGTATTGAATAACTTTAGGATAAATTCTGTCCTGTTGAGTTTCTTGATAAATCATCTTAAAAGTAATTGGCAAATTTTCTAAAACTTCCTCAAATATATGACAAACTTCTGATTCGATGTTGCAATCGATCTGAGCAATCAAAAAAATTCGTCATCATTTAACTGTGTCTGACTATCTAATCTTGACAAAATATCTGCGTGACCAAAATCGCTCGTTTTAATATATTCTATCTTGAAGTCATAATGTTTTGAGAACGAATGAATGCCCATCTTTGAAGTCGATTTACAGTATGAATTGAAACTCCTTTCTTTGAAACGAAAATAGTCAGAAGAGGTTTAGGATCTGTTTGTAAAGTGAAATTTCGACCATAAATCATTCTGTGAAATTTTGTGACAGCAAAATATTAAAGCTAATGCCTCCTTTTCTATTTGACTGTATCTCTTTTCTGTTTTAATAAGAGTTCTAAATGTGTGCCATATAGGTTTGATAGTGCCTTTTTTTAAATCTGTGTAAAATACAGGCTCCTATTCCAGTGATACTTGCTTCGCCCGCTACAATGATTTCGTGAACTGGGTTGTAGTTGATTAGACTCGGATCCAACTTCAAATTTTTTTTAAATTTTTCAAACGATTTTTGACATTCTGTTGTCCATAAAAATTTGAAACCCTTTTTCAATAATTCGTTCAGTGGTTCACGTAACACGTGTATTTCTTTGATAAATTTACCATAATAGCTTATTGCTCCAAGATAGGAACGTAGAGTGTTGATATCATGAGGCCGTGGCATATTTCTTATAGCTTCAGTTTTGACTGGATCTGGTTTCAACTCACCTTCACTTGAAATATATTCCAAATACTTAATTTCTTTGACTCTAAATTCACATTTTTGTAGTTTTAAGTGAAAACGAAACTCTTATATACGCCTTAGGACAAGATTTAATTTTGAGAATGTTCTTCCTCTAATTGGCTTGATACTAAAATTTCATCGATATGTGCCGTGGTTCCTTTCAGACCTGATAACATGGTATCCATAACTTGTTGAAAAATGGCTTGGGCAACTTTTATACCAAATGGCATTCTAGTGTATTGAAACAATCCATGATTGGTGTTTATTGTTAAATATTTTCTTGAATCTTCACTGATTTCAATTTGAAGGAAAGCATCAGAAATGTCCATGATACTAAAAATTGTAGCATTTTGTAACTTTGAAAAAATTTCTTCGACTATCGGAAGAGGGTAATGATGTAATAGAAGTGCTTCATTGAGACCAGTAGAGTAATCGCCACATAATCTGACATCTCCGTTTTGTTTCGTTGTTCCCACAATTGACCTATCTTTTTTTACCTTGACTGCGCGCGCAACTCATGGGCTGCAGGTGAGTGTCCAATGAGAAGCGAGTTTGTTCCGGGCTTGCGCCATATTTTTATTCAGGGGCCAGTTCAGAATTAATCGTTCCTTCTTTCTTTGTAACGTGGAATTCGACAAAGAGCAAACTAATACTTTATGTATCACTTCTGAACTCACCGCAGTGTTGTTTGAAATTATGTTAGATTATACTTGACATATTCCTTTGCACTTTCATTGTGCGATGTTGCCGGATGAAACATAATCAAAATAAAAGTACAAAAGATGTTAACATAAGCTATCTTTTTCTATTTATCCAATAAAGGTCAATTGGAGCTGCCCAATCAGGATATTCAACGAATGATATGATTTTTTTTTTCGCAACCTTTGAAGTTCTTGGTCAACATTATCCATGCCTGAATTACGTCTTTTTGCTTTGAAAATAGGAACTGCGTCTTCTTTTATATGAAGATTAACTTTGGTTTTTTCAAAGTGACCTAATGCTTCTTAAAAAACTTTAGAAAAGGCTGATTTTAATGATTCTGTATTGATTGAAAATTGTTTAAGTATTGAAGTGATAAAACATTTACCCTGAAAAGGATTTTTTTTGAAGCTTATTGTACATTGAAATTCTGCTCTTAAATTAATTCTATCACCTGAAGCGCTATTGGCATCATGATTTGTGGGCTAACTCTCTGGTTCCTATATTTGTCCATATTTCTTGTGAGATAACCGTGATATCTGAAGCTGTATCAATTTGTAACCTGATTGGAATATCATTGATTTTGACTTGAAGAAATTTTCTTTCATATTGGGTCGACTCAATATGATTAACATCATAAATGGCTTTTGATCTTGTATTTTTCGTATTAGAATTTGTCTTAGAACTGATAAATTTCGTGAGGCTTTCGCGGCCCAGGTATATTGATAAAGTGTTTTCATTCGGGCTTAATGGCCGTCGTAAGTTGGAATTTCTTCCTGACGTTTCGCTAGCACGCGTGGCTAGCATCGTCAGAGGTGCTATCATGTCCGATTCTACTAGAATACTCATTTGGAGCTTTTAAGAATGCATCGCATTTTTCCGGTTCTTTCACAAAAGGGGCTGGAGCTACTGACTCCGCACCTAGTACGCCTCTTCAGGGCCTGCCTTGCATATGGTCAAATAACACATTCCTGGCGTAAGGTCCAAGGTGTATTCATCCCCAAGCCAGGAGGTTATAGTTATGAAGCGGCTAAGGATGACAGACCTGTC